CTATTCTGTCGCTAGACTGAACTATGCCACTGCAGTAGCTCTCTGCTCTGCCACATTGCTAATGCAGCATTATAGTGCGTGCTATTCTCAACCCTGATTGTTTCCAGTAATAAATACATACTTCAGAGTGCTTACTCTTGAGATTAACATGGACAAACCAGAAGCCTCGAAAGCATGAAGTTGGTGTCAAGCACTTCTCAGTTCAATGCAAGTTCCAAATAGTTAGCCGTATGCCTTTAGTTTTCTTTTAAATATTGAAGTTATCCAATTAGAAGAAATGCATGGAAAAAATTAAAAAGAAAAATAGCATTATGATTGTTTCCACCAAGTAGTATCAACCCAAGAATAACAAATAGAACATAAACAGTGATACCAAATAAAGTTCAAAGAGATTCACATTGCTTACAATGATATTTTCCCTTATAGCATATCAAGATCTATCCTACAACTTCAAGAGACTAAGATACTAAAATGTATTTAATTTGGAAAGTGTCAGTAAGCATCAAGAATGTAATACATATATATTACTAATTGCCAAAAGAATCTTAAGTTGAAACAACCATGAATTTTTACATTCGTATTCTAAAATGATACATACCTCCCAAATTTGCTGGATTTGCAATAAATTTCAAACAGATTGCCTTAAGCTGTGGACAGTGGTGTTGTTCTGCCAGAGCAAGTGTCGTGGCTACATTGTCAGTATTGATTTCTTCACACAATTTTGATTCACAAAGCAGTTTGAGCCGATCAAGATTATAGAGATCAGCAGCAGCCAAGAGATGCTGCACCATGACAGCATAAGAGCACACATTCATTGAGTCCATGACGTCGTAGATGTCAGGAAGTTTATCAGAATAAATGAAGAGAAGCATTGCCTGGAAAAAAAAAACAGATTAAAGGATTTTCATTTAATCAATTTGCTCAACAAACTAATATGAAAGAATAATTACTTCAGTTAGAAATTGATGACAAGCATATAACATGAAGAATACTATGGCTGCAGAAAGGAAATAACAATATCTTAAAAAAAAAACACAATTCTAGAAAGTAATGAGATTATAATTGACGTAAAAAGATCTTATTACTCAGCAAAAATACTCATGCAAACTTGACATTTTTCACATACAAAAATTCTCCATACTTGGGATGCGTTTGGGACAACTGCAAAAGTTAGATTATTACAATAATTGATTATTCTTATAATTAATTATAAGAAAAAATAATTTTTGCTGCAGTAAGTTTGTTGAAAAGTGATTTTATATAATTAATTTTGTTAGGATACAAAAAAAAAACATTTTACACAAGAAAAAGAGAACTGTGAAGTTAAAGAGGGAAAAAAAATTGAAAAATAAAATTAAGCTACAAAATTTCATATGCAAGAAAAGAACTTACTTTTCAAAAGAAAATTAGTATTGTCTTAAATACAGATTATTTTGTAAACAGTTTTTGTCCTAAAAGAACACGATTTCAGCTGTCTCAAACATGCTCTACGAGGTTGCAATTTAAAAGGAAAGTTATTCCTAAAAATAATTTTTTTACTTGATACAATAGTACCATCTGACTACTTTACAAATAAAAGCAAACACATTCAGCTGACAGAACCTGAAACTAACAATAAAAAAAATAACCTTTTTGCTTTCATATATCACAAATGGAATAAGAAGCCTATATATCATGATATAAAAACAATGATCTCACTTATTTAACTGTTCAGATATTACAGATGGGAATTAATTGAAGTTGAAAACTACCTTGAAGATAAAGGGCTCAATATCCTCTACCACTACTTCCTCTAAGCTAGGGTCCCCAACAAGTCCAAAAAACTGTGCTCTAAACACAGGAGATCGAGCCGCAAGTATTAACTTATGAGCTTTGAAGCTTTCACTTTTAACCTTGAAAACTATGTCGCAACCAACCTCTGAGTCCAGCAAGTCTTTAAAATCGCGGCCCATGTCTGACTGTGGCACAATAACACCCTGTTTAGATCCCTCAAAACGAGTTTTGACAACACCAACAGTGCAGTGCATGACAAGGCAATCATCTTTTAGATACTCTGAAGTTTCCAGCAAATTTCTTCTGAAAAATCGCTTGTAACCCCTGAAATGAGCAAATATATGTTTTAATTGCAGGAAACACCCAAATCCAGAGACAATATAATTCTGTCCATCATCCCAAAAAATATAGATAACAAAAATTACAAAACTAATTTTATATGTATTGCTCCTTTCTAACAATATTTTCACTAAAAAATTACCTTGTATAGATAGCACAAAATTCAAACCCCTAAACCCCAACTAAACCGTTATTCCAAGTTTACATCATATTGATTACAATTGCAAAACAAAAGGCAATGAATGAAGAACAATTCCAAGGTACCATAAGCTGCCATAATACTTCAACATGTACGGACCACTCCTGAGATGGTTATCAAAATGTTAATAATAGGAACCACTAAAACCGGAGATAACAATCTTCTCCGCATGTTCCAAGATCTTGAAAATCAAAATACTGGTAACGAAAACTATTGTGTAATAAATAAACAACTCAGTCCCTTGACATACTATTCACCATTAATATAGCCATGCATTTTGTTCATTTAAAAATCAGTCTATTCTACCTGAATTTACTCCTGTTAGGAACTAAATTGACAAAAAAAAAAACTGGAGCCACTAGATTCGGGCTTCAAAATTTCAGGACATGTAAACAAATGAAGGTACTAAGTGTTTTCCTGTCTCAAAATTTGGCTCCTTCAAAATAAGCAGTGAACTTTAGACAATAAAGTGAATTTATAACCATTGATTAAAATTAAACAGTTGACAATCGAAAATACAATTAAACATGATACGTGTACACATATAAAGCAAGCCAATTATGAAGTTATAATACCATCATTTGAAATGCCAAACCATCACTCAATTCAAAACCCTAAACCACAAAATTTCTATATATCACCATTCCCGACAGCCAACCCATTACCGCAAGTTCAAAATTGAGGGAGTGAATTGATGATACCAACCACATGCTGCCTCTATACTTCAAGGTGTACGGTCCACTCTCAAGAGGCCGATCGAAGTGGCTATGAACCTTATCGTTCCCCTTCTCACTCTGATCCACCAGCGTCAACTTGAACAGAGCCCTAACATCGGTTCCGTCGCTAGCGAGCGCTATGAAGACCGAAACGTACATGGAATTGTCCTCGGGGTTCTTCCCATCAGGGTAGAAATAAATTGCCCAATCGTAACCACCGACACTAAAAGTGTCGCTCATGATGTACTTCCCAGCACCCATTCCCTTTGCAAGTGAATACCCCTTTATCGTGAATTGGTGCGAGCCATTCACCGTTTCGCTGATCGAACGCGAGCAAGAAGAGCCCTCCGAGAAGGGCTTGAAATCCCCCATCCGGTCCTCCTCCAATTCCGCCATCGCAAAACCCTAGCGACGGTGTCGCATCGATGAGTGGGGCGAAACCCTAATTCCCCGAATCGGGGCGAGGAAAATTGGAATTGGGTGCAGTGAGGGCAGAAACAAGGAAGCAGATAGAAGAGCGAGGAGTTACGTTACGAATACGAAAGTTGTGTGTTGTGTTCCCGTTTAAGGTTTTAGAGAAGAAAGAAAGAAAAAGAGTTAATTGAGGTTAGAGAGAAGGAGGTAAGGTAACATTAAAAACAGAACAAAACAACAAAACATTACGAAACCCCGTTGTCGTATTTATAGGATTCTACTACTGGCAGCCACCGCTCACAGCTTCTTACACGCCATCTCACTTTCCTTTTCACGCCCCCATGCCCCTCTTCTTCTTCAAATTTCAGAAAATAGTCTAAATCTTCTCCAATGACATCAACAATTTCTATTTTTAATCTCCAATTTATTCTTCTCCAACATAGCAACTAAGTAAACTATCTTCTATGAAATAAACTATAACATTGATATAGTAAGTTGTTGCCAAATTTTTTTTCTATTCTTAGTCATCATATTTTCAATAAATAGGTAACTTTATATCTAAATATAGAATATTGATATAATATATAATTGTGAAGTCTTTTTTTTAATTACCAGTTATCTTGGTGTAAATCATATTACTAATAATTAATTATAAAATATAGGCTTACTGTGAGATGATAAGTTAAATTAGACTATTTATAATTTTGTCTAAACACACAACAAAAAGATAATATAATAATTAATATAAAATATTCTTTTAATAATTAATTGTGTCATATAAATCATCGGGCTTGTAAATTAATTAACTAACTTTTTTTTGTTTAATCATGAAAGACTGGTATGATACTTACATCAGATAAATTGTACATGCAAACACAAAAAATAGTACAACAGGATTGTGTGAAGTCTCTCTTGTGAGATCACAAATTGTGATAATGTAAATGACACAACTTGTTATAAATTTACTAACTTTTTTTTTTGTCTCAACATAAAATATTGATGTTTTATATGTTAATAGAAGGAGCAAGAACATTGAAATAGAAGGTTTCAGGGAGGCCCACAGAAGGGGGAAGGTTTTTGAAATGACTTGTCGAATCTATTTGACAAAGAAGAACCTGAACAGGGAAATACATACTGTTAGCATCACTTCAGAATTTTAATGACAGCAACTACTGCAAGAAGAGGTTGAATCAATTTTAATGACAAATAAATTTTTATTTTTTTCATAGATCCACCTTGAATCATTTTATTTCATTTTATTTTAATTATTTTAATACCGGATTCATCTCGATTCGACTTGCCCCATTTGATATCATGGACGAATAACTTGCTATATGAATATCATCGTTAAAAAATAAAAATAAAAAGGAAGTTTAATGTGTTGATGTGAATGTGACGAAAATAAATTTCTGTAATTAGATGCAAACGCGCACACAGAGTCACTGCACTTATTTTGTTCATCTCACAGAAGTTGCCTGAAGTGAAACACTGAATAGAACGGAGACATTTTGACCCGAACCCATTATCTTTGGATCCATGAATTGAATCGGGAATTCCCAATGACCGGCAATTTTCTCCGGAAACCCCTCTCATTCAAGATCGCCGTTTTCTTCTTCATCACCGTCACATTCTTCTACTTCGGCAAGCACTGGTCCGATGGCTACCAGCAGCTCGTATTCTTCACCACCCAACGCTCCGACCCGGATCCGAACCCCAGCCCGGTCGTTTCCACGTCGCCGAATTACGCCAAATCATTTAACCCCTCCGCCCTAATTGACCAGAACATCACCCAACTGGCGCCGGAAAATGCGCCGCCGCCGGAGGGGCCAATCAAGCAACTTGGGATCGTGACCGATAATGGCACGATGTCAGATGAGTTCGAGGTGGAGGATTTCCAACTGGGTATGGTGGATCAGAGGGTGAACGAGACCCAGGTTGGGAAAGAAGGCCCTTCTTCTGATTTTGAATTGGGGATTAAGAAGTTTGGGTTGTGCCCGCTCGAGATGAAAGAGTATATACCTTGTTTGGATAATGAGGACGCGATTCGGAAGCTGCCTTCCACTGAGAAAGGAGAGAGGTTCGAGCGGCATTGCCCTGAACAAGGTCAAGGATTGAATTGCTTGGTTCCTGCACCCAATGGGTACCGTACCCCTATTCCATGGCCCAGAAGCCGAGATGAGGTCAAAATGTTCATTTTTGGTTTTCTTCTCCATTTAGCCAAATGGTGTTTTTGGTTTCAATTTGGAGGATTTTAAAGTTGCTTTTGTTTTTTAATTAGATAAAACTTAGATGCAGTTATATGGGTGCTTTTGATATTTTCTCCAGTAAGAATTAGGATTTCACCTTAGTAATCCACTTAACCAAGGTTTCCAATGTCATTGTCAGGATGAAACTTAAATTCTGATTGAAGAACAGTGTCAATAGAGCAAATTAAACTTCACTTATCCTTTTTTAAGGTTTTCATAAATTTATGGCTTTTTTTTGGTGTAGGTATGGTTCAATAATGTTCCTCATACACGTCTTGTTGAAGATAAAGGAGGCCAAAACTGGATTTCTAGAGACAAGGATAAGTTTAAATTCCCCGGAGGTGGCACTCAGTTTATACATGGGGCAAATGAATACTTGGACCATATTGCTAAGGTTATTAAGTTGTTGTGCTTGTATGCTTTGATTTTGGTTTCACCTTACCTTTCTGCTGGGAAAGTGTAGGTGCAGCTTATTGGAATCTGACATTGGACTTTTGCGATTATAGATGATTCCTGAAATTACATTTGGTCAGCATATACGTGTTGTTCTCGATGTTGGTTGCGGCGTTGCTAGTTTCGGTGCGTACTTACTGTCACGGAATGTTGTCACCATGTCTGTTGCTCCCAAGGATGTTCATGAGAATCAGATTCAGTTTGCTCTTGAGCGTGGCGTACCAGCAATGGTGGCAGCATTTGCAACTAGACGACTCTTATATCCAAGTCAAGCTTTTGACTTGGTACATTGCTCACGCTGTAGAATTAATTGGACTAGAGATGGTATGCCTTTCGTTCTCTTGTATGATAAGAAACAGTTGTTGGTAGTATCGAGGATACACGTTATATGGAGAGGTCTATAATGACTAACCAACCAATAGAAAGTAGAGAATCCAATTTGTAACTACCACTTTTCTTGCTGTAAAGGCCATTATTTGTATTATGATGCTTAGACATTATTTTTAACTGTGATGAAGATGGGATACTGCTGCTTGAAGTTAATAGGATGCTAAGAGCAGGAGGGTACTTTGTCTGGGCTGCCCAGCCAGTTTATAAGCATGAAGAAATTTTAGAACAACAATGGGAAGGTATAGCTAAATTTTTTGAAGCATTTTTAGCAATGGAGTTTGTCTAACTCTTTATTACTAAAAAGGCTGTCTAAACCTATGAGGAATGTGACATTTGATTTTGTTATCTCCAGAGATGCTTAATCTTACAACTCGACTCTGTTGGAAGTTTTTGAAAAAAGATGGGTACATTGCAGTATGGCAGAAACCGTCTGACAATAGTTGTTATATAAACCGGAAGGCAGGAACTAAACCTCCACTTTGTGACCCAAATGATGACCCAGACAGTGTTTGGTATTGTGTTCCGGCCTTCCTTATACATTAATGATTAAGTACATTTCCATCGATCCAGATGATTATTGCCAAAAGTCATGTGTAAAACTATTCCTATAATTGTTATGTGATAGAGCTTTCCTGGATAAAACCAGAGAGTAGAAAATAGGTGCAATTTGCCAATATATAGGTTTGCTTACCTTAAAGAAGTAGAAAGATGCAGAATAGGATGTTCGTTCACCAATGCTGAAATGTTAAACTAAGTTTTCGATAGAAAGAAAGTCAAACATAATGTTGATTTAGATAAGTTTGCGGAAGCTTTAAGCTCAATTCTAAACTAGAACTACTGAACAATAAAAATGATGATGGACTATCTCACCAGGATCAATAGATGATAGCATCCTTTTCCGTCCAATTTCAATCTGTACTTTCTTGTAATAGTTAAGATTTTTAGGTAAATTACTGAAGCGTATGCAAAGTTAGAAACAACTCAGTCCTTCTCCACTCAACCCACTTTGGGAAGAAGATAGAGAAACCATATGATATAAGAAGAAAAAGGAAAAGAATATTACATGGTAGTCTATAACAACGAAAAAATGGTTATATTTCGGTAAATGTGGTTTTTCATTTGTTGAATATTATATTATTTCTTATTGAAATATGGAATTACATACAGAGCAAGGAAGCAAAAGAATTGGCTGTGCTGCCTCCTGGTTATATGTGTGTATTTTGGATTTCTATCTCGAATATTGTTGAATGCTTCTTCTAGTTGCTTGGAACCTATGCTACCTATGAATAAGAAAACATTGAGCCAGCTATATCAATAAGTTTGAGTGAAGCGTCATGATGTATATTATTATTAAACTTAAGTGCCTCATTATTGGTGATTTTATTAATTACTTGATTAATCTAGGTATGTTGATCTAAAAGCGTGCATCTCAGAATTGCCTAAAGACGGCTATGGAGCAAATGTCACTGAATGGCCTTCTCGGTTACAAACCCCCCCGGATAGGCTTAAAACCATAAACCTTAGAGCTTTGTCATCCAGATCAGAGCTATTTAAGGCAGAATCAAAAGATTGGAAGGAAATAATAGCAGGTTATGTACGTGCTTTACCCTGGAAAACGACAAGACTAAGAAATATTATGGACATGCGAGCAGGTTTTGGAGGGTATTGCTTATGTCATATTTACTTGCTTGTTATAAATTTGCATTTGGGGCTTTTCCCTATGAGAATCTTTCAATTTATTTGTGTGTTTAACAGATTTGCAGCAGCATTGATTCAGCAGAAATTTGAAAGCTGGGTTATGAATGTAGTTCCTGTGAGTGGTCCAAACACTCTGCCTGTTATATATGACCGTGGATTGATTGGAGTTGTGCATGACTGGTATTGCACTAAGCTTATTTAAGATAATATAGATTACAAGTGTTCTCAATTTTGAGCAGTGGTTTCTTAATTTCACGTACTTAACAATTCCCCTTTGTCCAAATCCTCTAAATTTCTGATGTAGACTTGTGAGCACATTTTCATGATTTATAATGTAGGTGTGAAGCATTTGACACCTACCCCAGAACCTATGATTTACTGCATGCTGCCAACCTCCTTTCTGTTGAAAGGAAAAGGTAATATTTTCTCCATTTATAAGCACTTTATCTTTTTCTTGCCAATTGTTATCGTATTTGTGCCGGTAAAAAGAAAAAATGAGTATTGAGTCAGGGTTTTTTGGGCGTTAGCCTTTCGGCTCTCGGAAGCAAAGTGGTCTGTCTTTTTATATCCATTCTTTTATCTTTCTTAGCCTTCTATACTTTTAAATAAGCTTATGTTAATGTTACTAAATTTTGAGCTGTCATGAAACAAGCATATATACACACTTCATCTCAATATTCATGAATGGTGAAACAATTCATATTTCATTGTTCATTCATAGCATGGATTACTAGAGCAGAGGAAGAAATATAGAAAGAGTTAGCCGGCAAAGAGAAACCAAATCTGCCGCAATCAAGAAGCAATAAATAGTCTATTACCTATGATTTGATCATTATTAAGATTGTATTCAAACCTGATTTTGAACAGATCTATTACAATATCTAATCAAGGCTTCAATGAGGAAATACAAATTTAAGGACAAACTTACAACTACTTCAATATTTCATTATTCATTCGGATCATGTATAATAATGACTCTATCAGTTCTTAACTGCTTATTGCAAACAAGAAACAAGTTGTTTGATGTCTATTCTTTACTATCTGTTGCATTTCCGTGTATCAGATGCAATGTCTCATCCATTATGCTTGAGATGGATCGGATACTAAGACCTGGTGGACGTGTATACATCCGCGATTCTCTTGAAATCATGGATGAACTTCAACAGATTGCCAAGGCAATAGGGTGGCACGTGATGTTGCGAGACACGGAGGAGGGGCCGCACGCAAGTTATAGGGTATTGGTTGGTGAGAAGCACTTATTACGCTCCTGAAGCCAAATGGGGTAAATTGCACGACTTTTTCTTTGACCTTGCAACTGGAAGTTATCATCAGAACATGGGAACAACTGATATTTGAGAAGTGCTGGAAGATGCAAGTGAAAGAACTACTTGGCATTGACATTTGAGAAGTGCAAGAAGATGCAAGTGCATGCACTTCCCTATAAACCTCAGGAGGTGGTGAGCATTTTATTAATCCATACTACTATTCTTGAGATCCTTAATGCTTAGATAAGGTGCATCATCTAACTTATTTCTAAAATTCAATTTATTTGTATATTCCAAAGCCTACGTAGCATCAACTATTTTTTTATTTCCCCATGAATATCAGCACACTCTGTGTTCCTCTTTATAACATTTTTTTTTGTCAGTTTCAATCTCTCATTTATTTCAAGTCCCATTTGGAACCAGATTATTGGAATTGAAATTAATAATCTGTGACTATTATAATGCCTGTACCCATTTTTGTCTCTCTTTTATTTCATTATTTTGTCCCATAATTAACACTATAAATCACTTTATTATTATGTTTTATCTAAGTGTAAAAAATTACCTCATGAACTACATTTAAAATTGAAGGGTGCTGACAATCCAATTTTATATCCTTTACTTTGTGACTGTGAAAGAGGTGATGGATAATCCTATGACTTTTTTATACTAGCTTTACTCTATTATTTTTCTTAACATAAAATTATTTTGTAAACTTTTTATGCTAAGTATTTAATTTTATAAGAAACTAAAACATAATGTATGAAAAGGGGATTATTTTTCCCCGTTCCATGCGAGTTTGATGAAGTTTTTCTCCAGGATGTCATGTTTTTATATTTCTTCTCTTAAAATAAATAATGAAGATATCATCCTATTATTGTCTTCTTTTCCTTTCCCTCAATTGTATAAAAGTTAAAACAAATATCAAGATTAATAACTAAAACAACTATTTAATGGTTAACTTGTTTAACCTAATATGGTTAACTTGTTATTTAATGGTTTGTTATTTCAAAATTTAGTCGTCGTTACTGTTATCATCAGTTATTAAGACAGTAAGAAAAGTATTCCAATAAAACTCATCATTATAACTTGTATTATCATTAATTATTAGCACAAATTAAAAAGTAAGATTATTATTACGCGTACTTTAATATATTATAATGATCTTTTCTCTATGTAATGGCAACTTGTTTTAAATGTTATTATCAAAGTTCTCCACCATTTAAGACTGCAAATGAAAAGTAAAAGTTATCATAAAAGTCGAAAAGCAAACACACACAAAATATCATTTTCTAGCGCTAGCAAAGTATATGTTAGAATAAGGAAGAATTTCATAAACCAGGTGAACTTAAAGATTGGTTCTTATAAAAATAAGTTAGCTTTTGTAAGATTGTTATTATTTCAATAGTGAGATATATCTTTTGATATAGTGAAGTGTTTTGCGTATAAGACACTTTGACACCAAAATTAAATAAGATATTGGTGGGGTAATATATAAACTATATAATTGAACTTTTTATGTATTTAGACTGTTAATGTCTTTTATCAAATACTAATTAATTATATAATTATTTAGTTAATCATTTAACGACATTATTATGTTATTGGTTATTGTCATTATTGGTGCCAAGAAAAATGGAATTAAAATATACAATATAAAAAATAAGCATGTGGCCGTAGATGATAATTTGCTATAAATTGTAGTATGTAAAAACAAGAAATTCCAATTACGAGTCCTGTATACACTGTGATAAAATCTAAAATATATGAAACGTGTGATATTTATATTTTTAGCGTAATGAATCTCTTTGACATAAATTTTTTTTCCTCAATAAATAATTGGATGATGAAAAAAAAAATCAAAATATAAACTTCTGATTTAAAGTATAAAATGATATTATTTAAGATCTGCATACATAACCACATGTCTACACACATTTTCACCACCTAGGTGAATGGAAAAATTATTATTAATATTATTAAATATTAACTAAATTATATAAGTTGTTCTTTATATTTTATGTTTTATTGAGATTTTTTTAAAATAATTTAATATATCACTTATAATTATTAATCAAGAAATTTCATTTTTTTTACTTTTCATTTCATGTAGATATTTTCTTATTATTACAGTAGTGCATGGATTTATTTCTATTCCTTTTTTAAGTGGTTCAAAATAATTCTTCTATCTATATTTAAAACTAACTCTTTATTATATCCTTTTATCATCTTTCTCTTGGATTCCATTGCACTCAATCCAATCCCTTTTTCTTCTCCTTCCCTCTCCACTACAACCCTTCGTCTTTCGTATTATTATGTTCATTAATTTAGATAACTATCTTTCTTCAAAAATTTTTTCTTAAAAATAAAAAACAATTTTTTTTCTTTGAAAAAAGACCCCTACTTTAAAATGTTTTTTCGACTTAATCTTTCTCGAATTAAGAAACAGCCTTTTTTATTTGTTTTTAAAATAAAAAAAATGTTTTTCTTCATTTGTTTAAGAAATGCAATTTCTTTCTTTTATTTTGTGTTGGTGTGGTTGTTTAGGTTAATAAGGGGACGAGGATGGTATGGAAGGGAAGGGTAGGGAAGGGAAGAGAATAAAGAGAAAAAGATTAAAAAAAAAATTACGTAATTTAGTATAAATATTTTTAATTTAATATGCTATTTATTTTAAAACTTTTCACTTTTCAACTTTTTCATAACGCGCTATTGGCCAATTAATTTCTACAGTATTTTTTTAATTTTTCGTCTTTTAATTTATATTGTACAAATCATTAATCAACTTGTAAACTATTTGTACCTTAGAATTCTTGATTTCATATTTTTGTTTTATAAAGTTAGAGGCAAATGAAATTTGTTATCATGCACAATAAAATGTTTTAGATGTCAAATGATTTATTCCTAAATTAAATTAATTAATATTTTTCTTTGAAGCAAATATTCAGTTGATTAGGTTTGTATTTTAATAATTTGGGAACAATTTATCCAGTGGGATGGGACCATTCACCCCAATGTAAAAAGTTCTATGTCATACAAAAGTTTCCGTCTTTTCTAAGTGGGAAACCCCTCTCCCTAAGTTCGCTCACTGCTACTTCAACTCACTCCCAAGTTTCCTCCGTTCTCACATAAAAAATGCCAACGTAAGTTTCACCAATTACCCTTCATTTCTCTTACACAGCATCCTTAAATCTGAACGATTTGTTTTTGTGCGTTCTTATTCCGCCTTTATCTCTTCCTACAGTCATTATTTTGTTTTATTTCTCCCTTCTATCATCTTGGTATTCGTTTATTGCTTCTACTATTGTTGCTTTCTATTGGGTCATGCATTGAGTAATGGAAAGATGTGCATGAATTTTCTGAAATTTCTGTTATTGTTTGGTATGGATTTGAGTTAGATTGTGCTTCTGTGGCATTTTGTTGGATAAGTTAGGCATGATTAGCGTGTTTTTGACTTGTTAATTGTCTCTGATGCTTGACCTCGGGCACTAAGCAAGAACAAAACGAGCTATGAATATGAATTGTGTTTCTCTTTAATTGTCTCTGATAGCTTCAGGTGTTAGTATTGTGAGAGGAAACCAACCAGATTTGATCTCAAGGATTTATGAAATATCAATTAAGAAAAAAAAAATTATCATCAGTCTTATAATCAGCCTTTATCAATTAAGGAAAATGTCTTTAATTTTCACCAGAGGTAATAATCAGCCTTAATAAGTTGAAGGTTCGGTAAGTAATTGTTATAGCCCAGATACTCTAGAATTTCAACAGTATTGTTGTCCACATGTATATGGTATTCCTTACATCTCTTGGTACATTTATGATTTTTTTTTTATTACATTTCAAATACATACAAATTCAAATAGATGCATCCAAATCACTCTGCGAATGTTATCTGCCGTCACTGCTAGTGCTAAGGCATACAAATGATGGGTCCTATACCTAATGTATCTTTCTTGAAATTCTCCTTTACATTCTAATCATCCACAATAGACACCCCAAACCACTGTGCTGTGCCTCCAAATCTGTGAACAATGTTAAAACGAGCAGCTATCTGCATTTGCTACAGTTGCTGGTGGTTCTAGCTCCTTTTTCATTTCTTGGGTCAGTGTTATTCAAGTTGCTATTGGTTCTTACTATGCTAGTTTTCAAGTTGTGCAGAGTTGGTTCTTGAAAATGTATCTTGGCTGGGTCCCATCTTGACCATTTTTAAAAATGTTACATTTCCCCATATCTATATCATAATATGCATCTGGCTTCATAAGTTATCACTATGCATATACTTGTGCTAGGACTCATGCCTATGTTTAATTGGGTGAGTGAGATAGATCACATAATTCAATCTCTAACTTTATAACAGTTATATCTGGTCAGGGATACTTCTCAGAGGCTTTTGAAACGCTCGTGGATTGTAATCCTCTTGCCTTCATATTTTTCCATTTAGTGTTGCAAACCGTTATTGCAGCTGTCTCATTATCAACTGCTAATCAGAGATTTCAAGGGGCAATAATGAATACACGTAGTATGTTGGATACAGTTTTAAATGATATACTTCAAGTTGTCACACCATTACAAGAAGATTGGCAGATACGCTTTACGATAATTAACGATTTACGAAGCATTGTTGAATCTGTGGAAAGCTTGAGAGGTGAATATTGTTGTAGTTTTGTTTCTGTTCTCAATCCCCTCCTCCCTTTATCTCCTTGTTAATAAGGATTCTCCTTTATTAAATTACAATTTCTATACATGAACATATTTACCAGCTTAAAGTGGATATCACTTAAAGTAATGGCCCTTGTTGTAGACCATCTAGAGGCATGATTTCTGTATTTGGTGAATGAAGCTCCTAGAAGGGCAACTTTCATTGTTCTAATTGTTTTGATTAGCATTAATATTCCTATACACGTATTGAATAGTTCTTTGTACACTTATGATTGAAGAATATATGATATTCATTAATTACTTTACTGTATCTCACTGCTATGAACTAGAAACTGGGTGGACCTACCAAGTATGTTTAGGGAGTGCCACAGGCCTCCCAATTTTTTAAAGTCTCTCTATATTTCTCTTGGTATATATAATGTGCCCCATCCACAAGTTTGGTTTTTCTTAAATGCCATTAATCAATATTAATCCCTCCATTAATTTTATTCCAGATCTTGATTAGTGTGCCAAAACATTGTTTGCCAAATCTTATGGAGAAAAGTTTTTCAAATTTAAATGGACCGAGTCATTAATCTTCATTTATTAATGGTAAAAAGAAACACAAATTTTCTGTTCTTTAAAGATTTGCCTTGCTCTTTAAACATACCATCCATGTTTATTTTTACTTTTATGTTATAGTACTGTATTTTATCATGCTTCAAGATATCTTACAGTTCTATCAGTGTTACAATAACAGCGTTGTACTAAATTGATTTTTTCCCTCCTCATTCAAAGAAGGGAAACGTAAACGATGCCAACTTGTGGGGCAAGCTTTCGACTAGCATGAAGGTTTCTCCAATAAAATAAGATGAATTTAGTTATCCTTTACCCATAACTTTTGCAGCATTAATTTTTGTTGTTTACCTTGAGTATCACAGACGTAGAAACAGATGGATTCAAGTGACATACTATGATATTTTCCATTCTATATGAAGTCATGTCATTAGATGATTTAGGCTCCTACATCTATGGATATATTTTTTTTAAAGTCATTCCGTTTTTGAAATCTAAGTATTTAAAGTTGTACTTCACTTTGAAACAGGAGCAACTGTTGAGCCATTTGGGTCATTTGTATCTAATCTCTTCACCCGATGGGGTGACTTAGATATTTCAATTGAGTTATCCAATGGTTTGCATATTTCATCTGCTGGGAAAAAACAAAAACAAACTTTATTGCTGGAAGTTTTAAAAGCGTTGAGAATGAAAGGTAAAGTTCTTATACTTGAAGCTTCCATCACTTATTAATTGGTATAAAAACTGTGTATTTGTTGACCATGTATCAGGTTCATTTCTCGCTCAATTTGTCAATTTTTCTCTCTTTATCTTCACATAGTTCGAGAAATAGAATGCAAAGCTTAATTTTGTTTTATTTTATTTTTTTCTCCCTGTTGAGATATGTTTTATTTTCAGTCTTTTTCTGATATATGTTCCTAGGATTAGGGTTAGGGTTTGGACTGAGGTCTAACTTACTTTTGTACACTCTCATATATAAATATAATAGTATTAGTGCCATTTGACACTGTCTTTAAACCCTAAACATTGCTCTCATGTCTCCCATTGAAGTGAGATGCAATAATCAATAAGGCGTAGCACTTGAAATAGAAAAAAGAAAATAAAGAACTGATTTTGAGAGCCTTAAATCATCTTCTTGTGTTCTCTTATTTATAGGAGATAAAAATACAGATTCAGAGATACAATTAATAGAGAGGCATGATTAATCCTAGAGAAGATAAACAGATGCATTCTAGGAACTAGGTCTACAACTAATCTCATAAATGTCCAACAAGATATACTTAATCTAATAAATACTTCAACACTCCCCCTCAAGCTGGAGCATACAAATTGAATGTACTAAGCTTGGAACAAATGAATTCCATTCGAGATCCTCTCAAAGATTTTGTTAATGCATCTGCAAGCTGCTCATTGGAACCAACAAACTCAGTACAAATTTCTTTAGTCAACAACTTCTCCCGAATAAAATGACAGTCAATCTCAATATGCTTAGTCCTCTCATGAAATACTGGGTTGGAAGCAATGTGAAGAGCAGCTTGATTATCACAATACATCTTCATAGATTGAATCTCACAGAAGTTCAATTCTTGCAAGAATTGTTTTACCCAAACAAGTTCACAAGTAAGAGACGCCATTGCCCTATATTCAGCTTCAGCAGAGGATCGGGCAACAACGTTTTGCTTTTTGCTTTTCCATGAAATGATATTTCCTCCAATGAAAACACAATAGCCTGTAGTGGAACGCCTATCCATAGGAGATCCAGCCCAGTCAGCATCACAGTACCCAAAAATTTGGGTATTTCCCTTATCTTCATATAATAATCCTTGTCCTGGAGCTTTTTTAATGTATCTTAAGATTCGAATGATAGCATTCCAATGATCCACACAAGGAGCTTGCATAAATTGGCTGACAACACCAACTGCAAAAGACAAATCAGGTCTAGTAATCGTCAAATAAATAAGTTTCCCAACCAGTCTTCTATATCTTTCTGGGTCAGAGAAAACTTCACCCTGTCCTGCCATTAACTTCAAATTTGGATCCATAGGACTGTCCACAGGTTTGCAATCAATCATACCTGTCTCTTTTAGAATATCTAGAGCATACTTCCTTTGAGAGATGACAATACCTTCTCTTGATTGAGCTACTTCAATACCCAAGAAATATTTTAGATTTCCAAGATCCTTGGTCTGAAAATGACTACACAAGTGCTCTTTTAGCTGAGATATTTTAGCAGCATCATTCCCTGTGATGACAATATCATCAACGTACACAATTAAATAAACATGTTTGCCAGGGGCAGTGTGACAATAAAACACTGAATGATCTGCTTCGCTGCGTTTTAATCCAAAAGCTTGAACAATAGAGCTGAATTTTCCAAACCAAGCACGTGGAGATTGTTTTAGGCCATAGAGGGATCGACGTAATTTACAAACCAAACCAGACTCCCCCTGAGCAACAAATCCAGGAGGTTGCTCCATGTAAACTTCTTCTTCTAAGTCACCGTGCAAAAAATCATTTTTAATATCCAATTGATGAAGAGGCCAATGACGAATGGCGGCCATGGCAAGGAACAGGCGGACAGTGGTCATTTTGGCTACTGGAGAAAAAGTATCACAATAATCAAGTCCATATATTTGAGAATACCCTTTAGCCACTAACCTTGCTTTAAGACGATCAACCTGACCATTGGGCCCAACTTTAATAGCATAGATCCAACGACAACCAACTGTTTTCTTTCCCGAAGGGAGAGGAACAAGCTCCCATGTTTTGCTGTGATCAAGAGCCTGCATTTCAGAAATCATGGTTGGTCGCCATCCAGGATGATCAAGCGCTTCGACCACATTTTTGGGAATTGTAATAGAGGAGACAGAGGAAATAAAAGAACAATAGGAAGGAGACAATCTATGATAACTAAGAAAATTGTAAATGGGATGAGGATTACGAGTAGAACGAGTACCTTTGCGAATGGCAATGGGCCAACTGGAGTCATCCTGGATGGCGAAGGACCTGTTATGGATGGCTCATCTGAAATTATCAGGAGCCGTGGTATTAGAGGATGATGGTGAAGGACCTGTTATGGATGGCTCATCTTGGGGAATGAGATTGTTCACCTGGTTCCTGCGTTGATAGGTGATGATAGGCTGTGATGCTGATTCTAGAGTATTTTGGTTGGGATTTGGGGTGTCAGGAATAGGAGGTACAACTGATTCAACTAAGGGAACAGGAAACACATTTTGGACATTGTTGAATATAGGGAAAAACTGTATAGGGTTAACTTCCCTTGTGTATTTACCACACATAGGGCAGTGTATTTATAATAAAGAAAGGTACTCCTCAAAAGAGTAACAGAATACAAATAGGGTAAATAAAAGATATTATTTGATATTGTGATTAACAATATCTAACAATATCTCAACAATATCAAATAATATCAACTAATATCTAATCATATCTAACACTCCCCCTCAAGCTGGAGCATACAAATCGTATGTGCCTAGCTTGGTACAAAGATAATCCATCCTAGGTCCCCGTAAAGACTTAGTGAAAATATCTCGCTAATTGATCACATGAGTTAACGAACTCGGTCTTGATGTCTCCGGACATAATCTTTTCTCGAATAAAATGGCAAGTCAATCTCAATGTGTTTAGTCCTCTCATGAAAGACAGGATTAGAGCTTATATGGAGAGCGACTCGATTGTCACACACTAGTGTCATTTGAGTGACATCTCCAAATTGTAGCTCTTTAAGCAATTGCTTGAGCCAAATAAGTTCACAGGTAGCTGAGGCCATAGCTCTATACTCGCTTCTGCACTGGATCTTGCCATAACACTTTGTTTCTTACTTTTCCATGAGATCAAGTTACCACCAATGGAAACACAATACCCAGATGTAGATCTTCTATCGGAGGGAGATCTCGCCCAATCAAGCATCCGAATAGCAGGACAACTCTTGTATGATTATGGGAGTCATACACCAAACCTTTTCCAGGAGACTTTTTGATGTACTTCAATATACGGATGATCGCATTCCAATGATCTTGACAAGGAGAATTGAGGAATTGACTCACCACACCGATCGCAAAGGAAATGTCGAGGCGAGTAACCGTAAGATAATTTAATTTTCCAACTAATCTTCTATACTGTTCAGGATCCGACATTGGCTCCCCCGATTTGGCAAGAGTTTGGTATTAGGATCCATGGGTGTGTCAACAGGCTTTAAATTCATCAACCCAGTTTCCTCCAAAATATCCAATGCATACTTTCTTTGAGATATAACAATGCCATCGGTAGATTGTGCTACCTCAATACCCAAGAAATATCCGAGTTTGCCAAGATCTTTGGTTTGAAAATGGTGGCAAAGGTGTTGTTTCATCCGAGAGATGCCATGATGGTCACTACCCGTAAGAACAATGTCATCGACATACACTATCAAATAGATACATCCAAGCATTCGAGTGACTGGTAAAAGACCGAGTGGTCCGCCTCACTTCTAGTCATGCCAAATTGTTGAACAACGTCGCTAAATTTGCCAAACCAGGCCCTAGGAGACTGTTTTAGGCCATATAAATATTTGCGAAGACGACATACCAATCCAGAAGACTCCCCTGAGCAACAAATCCGGAGGTTGCTCCATATAAATCTCTTCTTGCAAATCGCCATTCAAGAAAGCATTTTTGACATCCAGTTGATAAAGAGGCCATTGTTGAATAGCGGCCATGGCAATGAATAAACGAACGAAGCCATCTTTGCCATCTGGAGAGAAAGTATCACCATAATCCAACCCAAAAATTTGGGTATAGCCTTTGGCTACAAGGCGAGCTTTGAGGCGATCAATAGTACCATCGGGACCAACCTTGATAACGAAGACCCACCTGCAACCAACAACAGATTTTCCGAGATGGTAATGGGACAAGCGTCCAGGTTCCACTAGTCCGAAGAGCACCGAGTTCATCTAGCATGGCCTGACGCCAACCAGGGTGGGCTAAGGCTTCGGAGACAGATTTAGGAATAGACACGGAAGAAATAGACGAGAGACATGTATAAAATGGTGAAGAAATTCGATGATAACTAATAGCAGTATAATGTGGAGAAGGATTACGAGTAGAACGCGTACCTTTACGAAGGGCAATAGGAAGGTCGGACTCGTGGACGGAACCGGAGGAGGCAGAGTATTTGGCACCGGGAGTGAGTCATGTGGCGTCTGGTTGTGGGCGAGGTCTGCGACTATAAACCTGAAGGGGTGGTGGAGGAGGAGGGGCTAATGGTGGATGGTCCTCAACATAAGGATCAATGAGAACAGGGAATGAGAACTGTAGCAGATGGAGACTCAGCAGGTAGGGAAGGGTCCTTAAAGTAAAAGGAAAACTCATTGAAGGTGACATCTGGCAGACACAAAATAGCGATTAAGAGAAGGAGAAAAACACTTGTATCCTTTTTGGGATCGAGTAAATCCTAAGAAAACACATTTGTGTGATCGAAGAGATAACTTATCATGACCAGGATCAAAATTGTGGACAAAGCAGGTAGACCCAAAAACCTTCGGAGGTAAAGGATGGAGAGTGTCATGAGGAAATAAAATAGAATGGGGAATTTTGTTATCTAAAACCGAAGAGGGCATACGATTAATAAGATAACGAGCGAGTAAGAACAAGCATCACCCCAAAAATGTTGAGGAACCGCACCATGAATTAAAAGAGTACGGGTTGTTTCAATAAGGTGTCTATTCTTGCGCT